TCATAATTGTGCAACTTTAAACTTAGTTAATCAACTGATGATTTTATTAATTGACATTCTGTTTATTTCTTTTAGCTCATTAATAAGAATATGAATCCGACATTATAGACGTCATACGCCACATCAAAGATTTGCCTAGGCTGATTAGACATTTGACGTTGACATATACATATATACCAGACAGAAAATTATCAGTTCTAAAATGACGCCATTTCAACGTAGCATACAAGTCACTTTACTAAAAATGAACTCCTATAAAGATAACCGTTGTCTAACTAAACGATAGTTTGTATTTAAATTATTTTGAAAAAACAGTTAACTATGTTCCATTTTAAAAATGCATGTTAGATATCATCAAACAAAAAGACTACAGATTCAATCCATTTAGATTAATAGAAAATTTAGTTTCTAGTCTACTTTTAAATAGTTCAATGAACTGTATGAAAGGTATCCCTTCACCGTTGCCAGATTGTTTGAAGAGCGGCTCATCAGAATAATTTAAAACTTTCAGAGCAAACAGATCTTGACGAGCAGAGTAAAAGTTATCATAGACTCAAAGTTTCCGAAGACAATCTTCTATGAGATACTCCGATCACCATAGCGAAAAGTGGTTCCTCCGCTTCCCCGAGATGCTATGTTCGATCGAGATACCTATCCCAGACAGTGTATAGTATACTTGAAAAAAATTTCAGCTCGATCAGAAATACAAAATCGGAGAGAAGAGGACGTTTCTGCACTTTTTTCATAAAGAAGTTAATTTGAGAACAATGCCATTCTCTATTTCCGTCATGTATATTTGATTTTTAACATTCACAGACAATTTTTGAATCTCTAAATGTACTCATTAGATACGGAAAACAACAAAAATTTTTGGTCACGAAAGGGTGAAGGTACTTTTAAGTGAAACTTATGTTGGTTCCTGTCCAGTCATCTCTTATTTAAATTTAAAGAAAATTTTCTTAGATTTTATCTTCATCAATTGACGTTAGTTTTTGGCGAAGTATTTTATATTATTATGAAACATTTTTACATATATATTTCATTTAAAATCTTTATTTATTTATTTTAAAAACCATATAAATTCTTATTTCTAGATGGCTCCTAAAAAACGTCGACAACAAAATAATAAAGAAAATACAGATGAAAATGTCAAAAATATAAAACTTGATCCTATATCAATACAATCAATTATTGTAATATAATTCTAGAAAATTTTAAATAATAATTTCTTGTCTTATTTGTGTTTCGTAGGATCAAAATCTTGAACAATTTGAAAATGATTTTAATCAACAATATAAACAATATGCGAATAACATTCAAGAAAAATTAGCTTTTGTTCATAAAGAATTTGATAAATATATACAAACACATGAATCACAAATAAAATTAGCTCGCTTACTTGATCAACAAATAACACGTATTAATCAACAACAACAAACAAATGGTATTAAAATACCACAATGTCAAGAATTACTTGATAAAACTAGTGATTTAATGAATGCGGTTAGTTTATTTACGAATTAATCAAGATTCTAAAGAACTTTTGTTTTTGCTCGATTTATTTGATAGATTCTTATTTTTCAAATATCTTTAATCAGAACCTTTTCAAAAAATATTTTTCTTTTTCTTTTAGTCATCGTCAGATACATCACGAACAAAAACATATCTTATTGGAGAATTGCAAATGTTACCAATAGGCAATGGTAATAAATGAAACCGATTGAAAAAAACTGTGTCTCTTTACGTTTACTATAATATTTGTATAAGTCATTGTGTACTCTCTATTTGATGTCAGATATTGTATATTTGTATGTGTAGTTGATAAATCTATATAAAAGAAAAATAAATAAAATGCCTTGAAAACAAAAAAATGAAGTTATGCTATTAAGTTTAATTAAACTGCCTGGATTAAATAAGAATTTCTGTGCGTTGAAGACATAATCAAAGTTTCGAAACACGTTTGAATTAATTAATTAGTTATTACTCTTTTTCCTATGTATATATGGAGAGAAAGAAATTTATTTTATAATAATGATTGATATGAATAGAAGTTTTTCTATTTTTGATGTCAATGAAGATTAGATTCTGTATATATAAAAAGGTAGTACACTAGTTAGGTCATGTCTTTTTTGTCTAATATGTGTGATATTTATCATTTTCTTTGTTTGTATTTCTCTATTGATATATGTATCGTTGAATGATTTAAATCATATCTTTATGAAATGTGAAACTCAAATTTTCTAACGGTACCAGTGTCTGTAACTGATTTTGAAGCTTTCAACTACAATCTGTAGTTAAAAGTAGATTCAGTAAGACTGACAAAACCTTAGAATCATTCATACATATGACTTTTCGTTCCTAAGATATAGTTAACATTATGATGAAAACAGAGTGTATTTCTTCAATGTTTTCAACGGACCATTGTCATATATTATCTAAATAATAATATTGCAATCCTAACAAAAATATGAAGTCGAAATAATTTTTACCAATTAGTTCTACTCGTTTATTTTTAAATGAATGCATTTCTGTCATCCACAATCATTCAATACAGATGGTATTCAAATGGATCTCGAGACCATCCATCGAAGGAATTTTCAATATTCTGAAAGTAGACTCGTTTGTATGCAATGAAGAGAGATGTTGAGCTCCTGATTTAATGTATTGTATCATGCTTTTGTCACTTCTATACAAATCATTAAACACATCTAAACTGCCTTTGCTTTATATCTGCTCTAAATATTGTATCATTGTAAATTCTTTTATGTATTGCAGAAACTTCTAGAAACTAAGTTCTACATTATCACAAACTTTGAAATTTTCTAGTTCCATCTAATCAAAGAACCTGACATATTTTTAATAGTAGGTTATTAGTATAATATGAAAAGTAAACAAACACTAATTATTTCAGTCTCATAATTTTAACTGTTTTACATAATCGAAAGGTTATGATCATCAGGGCTTTTTAGAGTTTTCTTCGTCAGATTAAAACCTACGTTTAGTCAAACCATGAAATCGACAGTCCTTAATCAAATGAAGTGCTTTTCTCGTAAGTAGATTAACTGTAAAAATCATTTCTGAGTAGTTTGTTATTGTGGAATTGACATAAAGTTTACTTGATAAAACTACATGTAGGCCTACATTTCGTATTAAGTTATATGGAAATTACAAGAATAGATGTCCGAGGTGAGGTTTTTTTTCTATTAACTTTTCATAGAAATGAACGCATTAATAATTAAAGACAAAAGACATTTTTTATATTAAAAGAAATGTGTACTTGTTGATATGTCAAATCGGTTTATGATTTGTCGTCATCAACGACGCAAATAGTTTTTCTTATATGAAGATTGTTGAGAATATCCTCTAACAATGATGGCATACTCTAGGTAAACAGTATGCTCGAAAAAGTCATAACTGCATTATAAATATTTACCAATGCATGACGGAGCAAGTTTAATATAATATTTGTTTTCCTATCTGCAGGAGAAGAAATATTAATTTCTATTTTTAAAGTGAGTATAAAAATTTAAAACTTGTCTCTTCTATATAGAAAATAAATCTTACATTAAATTTGATCAGTCATACATTTGTAAGTATTTTAAAACATACTGATGATTTCTTCGATAGCCTGTACATAAATTTTATTATTTGTTATGATGATGAGTAAAAATCTTTCGGTTCTATATTCTTTTCATAATTGTTTTTACTAAACATTTGAGTCCCATAGTAGCAAAAAAGCGACACATGTTTTATAATTAGTTTTTACAAAATAATTTATTAAAATTAGTATCGAATCTATTGGGATGAAGCAATAAGGAATGTTCTAGGATGTGGGTATGGTGGATATTGGATATATGGGTACAGGTGTGCAGATGTGGGCACGTGTGTTTGTATACGAGCATGTCAGTCTTTATGTGAATGTATCAGTATGGGTGTAGGCACATCGATCTGGGTATGAGTGTGGAGGCTAAAATGAGGATATGAGTGCGGGTGCAGCTGAGAGGCTTGTGTTAAACAATACTCACACCAAAATTCATTCACACTTGTACCTAAATCAGTCATAGACACACTCTAATCTAACAATTTGCATTACTTCAATCCAACAGAAATAATTTGGAACTCAAACGGTTAAATTAAGATATATTTAGAAGAATTGTTGAAATAACAAGATATTAGTATTGCTATACAGAGAACTTTAACCTTTATGTCTATAAACACACATTTCTATTCATGTAATGAAAAGAATTATAAATGAAAAGAATGAATGCTTCTGAAAATGTTTTAGTGTGACCAAAGAAAAAAAATGGACAAATTCGACTGATTTCAGTGGTTACACACATCTATTTGACGTTATTAGTATTCATTTTTGACTCAAGATGAACTCTCTGAAAAAATGTACTCATCTTATATAACTAGTTAGTTCATTAGGAACTCAACATAAAACTTTATAATTAGAGAATTTTGACATCTATCATTTGGTAATCTTCTTAAACTAAACAGTACTTACTTAATATTGACAGTTATACAACATAATTTAAATGTTTTACCGTTAGATTTTTTGTTTTGTTATCATCTATTGAATAATTCGATTCAGTTCATAATTATCAACAATGATATTTCGTTTTTTCATGATATGTTCATTTTTATTCTCCATCCATTTTCATTATGCATCTAAAGCTGCATTATCAACAGAAGATACGATTACTGATACATATAGTTCTGATTTATCATTATTTATACAACCATTACATTTTATTTCACGTATATGTCAACACAAAAGACAATATTCATTAAAAATATCAGAAAACATCTGTTCAAGATATTTTCAATCTTACACTTTACATGATAAAGAACAAAGACAAAAGCATGTCGGATGGACAATTATTGTTTGAAAATGACATTGAATTTAGGTTTTTTTTTGTTTTATGTTTTTTGATTAAGACGAAGAAAAGTTTGTGAAAGAATATTTCAAAAAAAAATGTGAGAGAGAAAATCTAATTTTATAAGTAAATTCCTTTCATTATCGGACTTATATATTGTCGTTGCTGTTGAGAACGAATGTAACGATTGCGACCAATAAGAACAAGTTGTTGATGATGATAATGTGCATGTTTATCTGAATTAGAACTCATTGTACATGATACACGTAAGTCTTTTAATAACCATAAACTACAAAGAAGTTTACGACATTCACTACGAAATGATCGACCAGTTGCACAATAAAGTACAAAATTAGCCTAAAAATAGAAACATGAAATTTTCTTTTTCTTTTTGCAAAAAAATCTTTTGTTTGTTTTTACTGTATGATTTAAATACATTAATAATGTCAAACAAAGTTGTGTTGTTTGCAAACGTTCAGTTGATATTTGTAAAGATGAATAATCAGCTAACAATGAACGTATTGATATTGGTAATGTACAAATAACAAATATAAATGATACAATTAATAATAAACATGTTAAACGTATTCCAGTTGTATTTGTTGGGTCAAATAAATTTTTTTGATTTGTTTTTCGTTTATTATTATGTTCAATAAATATGTTATTTCTTGGAATATGAGAAATACGTTGTTTTTGTATTTGACTTGATGAACGGCCAGCTGGAACTGATTCTTAAAAAAGAACAAAACAAAAATGATTGATAATTTCTTGTTATATATTTTTTTTCTTCAAGAATGATTTATGATGTTTTTCGTGAAAAAGGAAGCTTCAGACAAAATAGCTGTCATATGTAGTCCATAATATTTTACAATTAATTTAGTTTTTTTTTTCATTCATCAGAGCACGTTCATGAATAATATACAATAGAGATAATTTTCTGATGAAATCTTAACATTATATGTGCTCTAGTCTTTAGTACTATTTTTAGAATATAATAATTTTACATGCAAAAGAAATCGGAATCAACACGAATGTCATCGTTGCTCCGGAACTTTAATTTCATAAATATGCATCTCAATAAATAATTATGTCATTAACAAGACAAAACGTGTGGTCTATATGTGATTATATTCAATTTTTCTTTAAGTAATTTTCTGACTTCTAGAATAACTTTTTTTTTCAATGGATATAGATACAAAATAGGTTGTATGTCAGAATATGAAAAACGTAGTTTTTCTTAATTACAGACAAACTAAATAATGATGATAAGATAATGCTGCGTCACAGCATTCTGATTGAAAGAATAGATTAGGACAACCTTCGTGAGAGAACAAGTTGCCCAAGAAACGTTTTTATTGTATATTCAATCATCAACAGAACAAAATATCACTATGACTTTTACATTTATAACTCGGAAATTACTCTAACAATTATTTTGTTTATCACTATTGACAAAAGCACACTAAATACAGAGGGCATGGAGTCTTTGGATTATATGACAGACAATTAAAACCATTATAAATTCTTAAATATTTTAGTTCATGATTTCAGATGCTAATCAAAAGAATAAAAACTTTGCTTCTATGTTTAAATGAATTCAATTAATAGTTGTGTTATAATCATCAAAAAAAAAAAAATATTTGATAAACTAACCTGCTGATCGACTACGCAAAAATTGTGTACGCATTGTTGATAAACTTTTATTTTTGTTTCTTTGAGATGTATTTGTTGTTTGTATATAACTATTTGCTTGTAAATAATCACGTCGTTTTCTCATAGCATGAAAAATAGTCAATATAATTAATATATTAAATATAAGTATTAAAATTGATGGTAGAATACTATAAAAACATGAATCAATAAATGCTAATAAACTTCGATGAGTAACAAGATCACAGACAAGATAATTTGGATGATAACCTTCATCTGTTTGTAAATTAATACGATTTAAACCCATTGTAAAAAAATAATGTGTTGCATATAATGCAAAAAATATAAATATTATTATTGCTACTATATATGCTACATGCATACGACATATACGGATAGATTGAAATGGGTATCGTACAACCATAAAACGTTCAAATGTAACAGCAACAATAAGCCAAGCTGATATATAAGTAAATAAATGTTGAACATAAAAAGCTAAACGACAAAGAAAAGTTGAATACAATTGTGGGTGATAATTAAATGTTATGTCAAGCATATATAAAAGGCAACCAGTATAAAGAATGCATATATCAATAATAGCTAATAATGCAAGATAAAAATAAGATGAAAGTCCCCGACGTGAACGACGAAACATAATAGTTGCTGATAAAGTATTACCAATAAGACCAAATACAAGAAATAATATTAATATAATTGTTACTACCCATTTTTTTAAACCTTGTGGTATAGGATATGGTTTTGGTTCACAATACGGTGAACGTAATGAATTAATATATTCTTCACGTGTTCTGTTTTGTAATTCATGATCGGATATATTTAAATCTTTTAAAAAATCATCAATATCTTTACATGATGTTGAACTAAGCATTTGTAAAATATTTGATGCCATATGCGACGTATCCATTACAGAATTTCAAATGAATAGTAAATGTTCAGCTGTTGTTTTTTCCTTTTCTTTCAGTAATCTAAAAAATGCAAACCAATAATTTATATGAAAAAGTCTTCCAAGATAAAAACGTCAATTTCTTTTATTAATTGAAATCATTAATAATATTTCTATGCATAGGTTCTCTTTTTTTTTTTGTATTCCATTGAAGCATAAAAGCGTCTTCAATAATAAAACACTTCATCTAATATACGTTTCTTATTTTATGAAAAGTATTTCAATTAAAATTCTTTGTTTTTTTTTCGTCAAGGATGTGATGTAAATGTAATTGATCTTTTATGCTTAGTGATCAATGAAATGAAAGAAACAAAGTATGAAGCAAACTTGGATACATCTTATCAATGCGTTTGTAAAAGAAGAAATGTAACAAAATAAGAACAAATTTTGACTATAAATGTAAAAGATTGATGTGAAATAGAAAAAACGAAGAAGGAAAAAAAAGGAGGTTTGTATATATTTGTGCAATAACACAAATTTACTTGCTGTGCATTTCCTCAATTTATCTATGTACACATTTAGCGGCATGAAAAAGACTGGAAAGTGTGTTTATACAATCAGAAAAAACCTAAACAAACAATCGTTAGTTAGATATGAATGGTGATAATGATGATGATGATGATGATGGTAATGGACGATTGCAGTATGCTTATCATTAAAGACTAGTTAAACAATATCTCAAATAAATAAAACCTTGAAATCTTGATTATTTAAGAAGTTAATGATGTTTGATACTTGGAAAGATTTATAAATGTAAAACATACGGTTTTTCTAACAGTTCTTTGAAGTTTAGTTGAGATAAAACAGAACTGTTAAGTAAAACTAGAAAATGGCAAAATATAAGATATAATTATAATAAAAGACGCATTGAAGAAGAGAAAAAGAGAAAGAAAAAAAAAGGTCTTATGAGAGTAAATAGCAGCCTAGATTACAAACAGACTAACGTCTTGAACACATTTTTCCTCTTTAGATGTCTCTCAACTAAACATAATGATTGACAAACTTCTCTGCTTATGATATAAGTTCGCAAAAAATCATCAATAATTCAGTTACAAGACTTTGACAAGTACTTGTTAATTTTTGTTGTTTACATTTCATTGATACATTTCATCTGTATTAATGCCATCAAGTAAATAACTTGGAAGAAAAGGAGGATTACTGTATATATTTAATACAGAAAATGTTTGGCTTATATGTAACGTTTCACGATAAAGTATACGTCCTATCTAAGTGTATAGACATACAACAAATGAATCTACACTTGGAAAAATTTTTTTTTCATTAAGTTATAGATATAATGAAGATAGACATTTCAATCATGAATGAAACTATGTGAATGACAGCCTGAAGTAGTAACTACTAGTTTTTGTTTTGACATGCCATCACATTTCCGAATAAAGTCTAATCTTTGTTGGTTCTTATCTTAATACTTCTGCCGCTATTATTGTTGTTCAATAGAACACTATTAAGAGGATTCTAAAAAAGCAACTATCCATAAAAGAAACAGCAACAATAGAAAACAAAAAAGAAACTGTTGTTTTTGACCCAGTTTTATTGAAACAAATTTACAAAAAATTAGAATTTCTTATCATTATTACTATGCATTTTGCTTTTTTTTAAATAGGATTCCATTTAGAATTATCTAGACTTTGTTTTATTGACCACAAAAAAACCGTAAATTAGGTGTAATAGTTTCATATTTCTGTTTTTAATCAGTTGTTCTTTCTTGAATACAATAGACAATACTCATGTTGTATTATGTTTGTTATGAATTACTCATTTTAAAAAGAATTGCACTTGAAAAAAGTTTTTTTTGGCGTCTATGGAATCTTTAGTTACTAAGCAAGGTTAATATATAAAATTGTAATAGCAGTGAGTTTTTATGTGTTTCTAGGGAAAAATGTTTCATTTCGAGAATAGTATAAACATTATCGAGTTGATTAGTGTGACGTACATATAAAATATACATCGTTGATGAAAAAAAAGAAAAGAAAAGAAAGAAAAAATGAATTTTTTTCAAACACATTAACGTCATAGACTTTTTTATATTTAAAAAAAACACTAACATAGGTTTTGAATAAACGAATAAAAATTCAAAATGAATCGTGTTGGATTTGCTGCCCAAACTATGGAACTCTTCAGCAATGATGTAATGAATCCACAACAGAAATTCAAATGGATGGATAAACCAGCTGGTGATTCTAGTCCACTTGCTTTTTTAAAACCATTAGATTCATTATTAGTTAAAGAAATTGTTTCAGTAACTGAGTGTATGTCGCAAATAAATTTGATAATTAATTTAATTCTATTGAAATTTGTCTGTTTTTGTCTTCTTAGTTATGTTGTCAATGACACCTCAATCAAAATATGGAATTTTTAATGATAGAGGTGAACAAGTTTATTATGCATTTGAAGGTAAAGATTTTAATTATAATCTTTTCTTAAAACGAAAGAAAAAACCATACTGTTTAGAGAGTGATTTTTGTCAACGTGTATATTGTCCAGCAAATCGTCGATTTGATCTTCACATTGTGGACAGTACAAATCAAGTATGTGTAGATAAAATCTTCTCAATCAATTTTATGCATTATATTTAGGAAATAATTCGTGTAAAGCGTGAATTTAAATGTTGTGCAGGATCGGTTTGGTGTGCTTGTTGTGCAGCATGTAGTCATGAAATAATTGTTGAATCTCCTCCTGGTACTGTAATTGGCTATGTTACTCAAGAGTATGTTTACGAAGAAGAAAGTGAAGCGAAATTTTGTCAATCTCTTTTTGTCTTTGTAGATGTAGTTTACGCCGCGTGCATTATGCTCTAAAGGATGCAAATGATAATGTTGTATTGAAAATTGTTGGCCCAGGGTGTATGTGTGATGGACCATATGCTTGTTGTTGTGAAAATAAATTTACCGTTAGGAATTATTAGTGTTTAATTAAAATATTGAAAATTTCTTGTTATAGCTGATAGGTACTGATGGTGAATCAGAAATAGGATCTATCCATAAAAAATATCGAGGATATCTTGCTGAAGCTTTGACTTCTGCTGATACTTTTACTATTAAAGGTATGAAAATATTTTCTTACTCGAAAAACAAAAAAAAACATTAGTAATATTTCTTTATAGTTCCACTTGATTTGGATGTTCGAATGAAAGCAGTTGCACTTAGTGCTTTATTTTTAATTGTAAGATTAACTTTCTCTATTTTATTTCTATGGTCTTTGTGTTATAGGATTTTGCTCATTTTTCTGAACCACCTCGACGTAAACAACAATTTTCATATTGATAATCAAATAGAAGATTTTGAACTTTTTAAGTTTAATGATAATAACATATATATATATGTATGGTTTTTATTATTGTTTGCATAAAATAATTTTGGTTTCATATTCTTATTGCTAATAACTATTGACTGAATAAAAAGTATTTGTTTGTCAAGAAATTTTAGAAAAAAAAATTTATTCTTCTTATATATTGATAATGTTTGTTCTAGAAGGTCAAAGTTTCAAACAAAAATAAAAGAAACAAACGAGCTTTTAATTCGGCATCGTAGGTTACTCATTTCTAACCATACTTATAATATTGTGTATTATAGCCAAAAGCATGTTTTTTTTTCCGCTTGTAAAAAAATACTATTGGAATTAAGTCATAAAGAAACATTTTAAAAGTAGATTGCAAAATATAATAGACGTATGAGGAAATATAATCTGTAATAGTATTGATAGATGAAGTTTGTATGCATGACAAAGTCTTTTTGATGTAGATAAGATTGATTTTTTTCTCATTACATTTCTGAATAAGAACAGAAATATTAAAAAATCAAAAAAAAAGACGATGAAAACAAAGAAATGACTTATCATATAAAAAACTTATCCATACACATTAATTGTTTTTATAATAAAACAATCGATAATAAATAATATTCTATTAGAAATCCAAGCTATCGAATGATATAATTTACTCAAAAGTCTTTAAAAAAATATCTTTTGAGATTAAATTATTTATGTATAGAAAGTTTTCAAATATTTCCCATTTAATCATATCAAAAGTTACATAAAGAAGAAGTATTGAACCTTGCAGAATATATGATTTTATTCTATTATAAATACAGAAACATTTCATGATAATTACGAAAGCAAAATAAAAAGAGATCAAAAAATAGTTATTATGCATCAAATTTAGTGTTGTTAAATAGAGCACATAAATGAATAATAAGCTTTTATAGTTCAATGTCTATTAAAAGTTGATTCTAAATTAATTTGATGGTACTTTAGCTAAATTTATTTTTGAATTCTTATACAACAATACAAGTAAAAGCTGTTAGCATAATCTCTGTGGAATGAAAATCTAAGACACGATGTAGCTGTTGTTGTCAATCACAAGAGATTACTTTATTCTATCTATTTTGGAATACATTTTCTTCGTCATCCGCTTAAGAAATGCAATAAGGAAGTAATTCATATATTAAAAAGAAACATTTTTTATTTACGCTCTTTGGACATTTAACAACAACGTCTATCACGATCCTTGATGATCTCTAGTTATGGCAGTCTGTGAAGAAGACAAAAGCATCCAAATTTCCACGTCTATACTTTTACAATTCTTTTAGACCATGTTTCATAAAAAATATAGAATAATAAACGTTCACTATCTATTTATTACAATTACATAAACTCGTTTTAGATCTATGAGCGTAAACTGTGCATTCATAAACCTTTTTCTTGAACATATGAATGAAATAAACTCTTAAGTGAAGAATTCATCATTACGCAGTTTAAATACAAGTGTAGAATAATAAACTCTTCGCCTGAGGGTATATTTTATTCATATATCCCAAAAGAGTTTATTAACACAAAATAATTGTGCAATGATAAACGAATTTGCAACGAGTTACAAGTACTTGTCAAAGTTCACGAAAGGGTTGACTAGTCTTATAAACCTAAAAAAAGTTTATTTAAGGATATTAAATGCATAACGGGGGTTTATTATTCTACACCTCTTTGTAAGATGTAATCGAGTATAGCTCTTATCATTTAATTGAAAAAGAATCCTAGTGGAAGTAGAATGAAAAGCATTTTTTACAGCAAGTAGTATTATTATCTTCATACTCGCCCCGTTGGGATGGGTATCTAATTTTGCCAGATGCGTCTCTGCTCAAGGAGATAATAAAATGATGATAGGATTTTTTTTTCATTTTAATAAAAACTGAATACTTTGTTAAATGTGTCAGATCAAATTTTATTTTATTTTTTAATTTTCGCAACTTTCTTAAGTTGATCTGTTGTATCTCTACAGTATTGACTAAAATGAAGCAAGGGTTGAGCACTATTTATAATATTATATTCTATGAGGACATAAAGTCTATTTCAATTCATTTGATTATTGCATACTGTGAAGAATAAACGTTGAAAATGATGTCATATAGAGATTGTTAGACTGTAGAAAGATAGTGATTGTATTCTACACAATAGAAGATTCAAGTAAACAAAAGATTTAATGATATAATTGACTTGAATTGAAAATCGGACTAATGTTGAACATGAAATAAACTATAAATTCAATGATAGATTTTTTCTTTTGTTTTTCTGAAACTGAATAGTTTCATTTAATGTTTCGTATATTAAATATTACTAAAATCATGGATCGAAATTTAGAGAAAAAAAAGTTATGAAGGTTAAATTTAGCAATTGTCATACGATATTAAAAAATGTATCTTTGGAAAAAGAATCGTCAATATTTTTTTTATAGTGGTACTAAACGACAACATTCAATATTCACTACACTATTTTTAGATTTACTGTATTGTTACATGACCAGACGATTAGTAGAAATATAATCGTATATTATTGAAATAAAATCAATAATTGGCTAATACAAGTTCGCAATAACTTATGAATTTGTCTTTTAGAAGTAAATAGAAGTCTATTTTTATGTTATGAAGCTGCTTATTTGTTTATTGTACGTAATGAAATTAATTTGGGATTACTACAAATAAGAAATTGATAATCATGAATGGCGCATAAAGAATGATCCTCTTAGCGTTTCTTTAATAGCTTGACTACATTTTCATTTATTTTTAGTTATCTAAATATGTAAAAGAGCTTTTTACCACATGAAGAGCACGATTTACCTTATCGTCATATATGATTGAAGATTTTTGCTACTTTATTTACTTGGCAGTCCGTTCAAAGACTAAAATTAGGAGCTGTTTGAAAATTATTCGATCATACAATGATAAGAAAAGATAATTTGACAGCAGGCTATGTCGTAGTGTTCAAAGAAGCTTTGACTGTTAGAAAGAAAGAGAAGATCCAAAATAGTTGACAAACTGGCTGTTCCTATTATTGTTTATTCAGCTATTTAAATTTTAATCGGTTTATGACCTGCGTGAGTTCAATTCATCAATAATATTCTAATGAGTTCGAATGAAGATTATTAATAGAAGAGTACTCTGAAGACTATCACATCATTTATCGCTGGAGATAAATGATTTTTCAACAACATAGATTTGAATTCACTGAAACTTACTTTATATGATGGTCTGTTTTATGTCCTACGTTGAAGTGATGACAAAGCAAAAAGGCGTCAATTGATGAATTCCAATCAATAGTATAGCAAACCAATGAAAAAAAAACTACTTTTGAAAGTTGCGGAAAATAAGACTAGTTATTGCAATTATTTTTACGCAAATAGAAATGAGTGGTACTCCAGAGGGGAATCGGGATGATGATTACAAGAACGTTCAGCATGGAAAAGTTAAGCACACAAAATATGAAGGAAAGAATGGTATCTATTGAAAGATTAATGAGTGTATATAGGTGTAGATCTGCGTGTGGATGAAAATGCTAGTCTTCTCCTCATTCCTATCCATACCTTTTATCTTCATTTTCTTTTTGCATACAGGACTTTCCAGTGTTGAAGCTTTCTTCAGGCTTATTGTTCATCAATTCACTCTAGAGAATTGAAAGATGAGTTTTTTATTGAAAAAAAGTTGTTTAAACAAATGAAAATATAATCAAGTCATTACAGAAAAGTTAAGAGGATCATTCTTATTACCTCGCCTGTTATTGATTATATCTTAATTGCAAGTGCTTTCAAATATGAAAGTAAATGCAACAAAAAATGTAATATTGTTTATGTTCCATAATAATGAAAAAAGAAATCATTCAATTCATAAAACTTCGGAATAATTTATTTTATTGTTTTTT